TGGAGAAAAGATGGCGAGGGGTGGCAGGAGGAGGACATTGTTGCTCTGCGGCAGGGTGACGGCGAAGATGCAGCAGGGGAAGGCGACGAGAAAGATCGATACTGTGAGGATGGCGAACAGGACCTTGCAAAGACAGCACGCACCGCCCGTGTAGCATCTCGATATTTTTGTAACGGGCGGGCCGCGTGGAACAAGGTGCATCTCTGCATATTGTCGAAAGGAATTACGGCGATGAAGAAAATGGATCGAATGATGCAGCTACTTTGCAGGGAAGTCAATAGAAACACCGAAACTGAAGATGTCGATATCGTCGGTGTAGTACGCAGCGTCGCTGCCACGTTAGAGGCAGAACAGGGAGATAGTAGAGAGCCTCGGGACGTGTGGTTGGAGGAAGCCGCTGCCCTGGGGATTAGGAACTCTAATCAGGGAAGGATGAAAGGAAGAGGAACCAAGAAGAGGGCGCGGTCTTGGACAGAGAAGCGTGGCAAGAAGCGGGGGAAGGGTGGCGTAGAGAAAGGAGACCAGGGAAACCCACCTGCGACTCAAGATAATCTCCCTGCAGCTCAACCAGCGACTCAACCAGCAACTCAATCAGCGTCTCAACCAGCGTCTACATAACAGCACTCCACCGCCGTTGTGCCGGTGCAGTCTCCAGCGATGATGGGTCCGCTTTGGCAGTTGCCGTACTACGATACCCAGAATGGAACGCAGTAAGATCTTGTACATTAAGTGACGGGACACCTCCCACAGAGGTCATTTGGAAGGGTGCTGCCAAAATTTGGGGCCTTCAGGCCTGCCTGGGAGCTCAAAAATTCTGAATTTTTCGTGTACCATTTGTTTCAATTTTTTTCACTAAGTCTTTTTGAAGTTGAACAAGAATGCAACACCTTGCCAAGATGTGAGGGTCATTCATCATTCATCATTCACGGCTGATGACCTTGCCACCTCCCTTCTACTATTATAGTGGTGCGCAGATTGACATTGTAGTGCCATGCTGAGTGATAAATGAATTGATATACATTTCAGTTTGTGTACTAATTTCTCAATGTACTTTGAGCAGGCTGCTGCGCTGAGCGCAACTTCCGGGGCCACTGTAACTCATTTAGTAGTTAATATCTGAGCAGCCTCCGTTGAACGTTAAGAATGCACCTAAGTTAGGTCTGAACTGAGCAGTTAGGAATCTTTCACTAATCTACGATCCTTCGCAAAACCATTGTACGTTACGACCCGGCACCATTTTAATGTCGATGACGCTTTCCGCGCTTCCAGTCGTCCTCGTCCTCATCATCTTCGGCTGAGTAAAACGCTTCGGCGTACTCCTCAGCATCCTCGACGAGGATATCGCGGAAGAAATGATGCATCTTCCGGGTGTCCAAGACAAAAAACATTCTGCCAGTTGTTTCCTTATGTGGAACCCCTCGGCAAAGTCTGTGTCGTTGCCAGTCACCAACAACCGCGACATCTCTCTCAGCGCAGACGCAGTCGCGCTCATCCCCATCTCCTCAAACCGCGTTACTTGCCAATGCAGATCCGAAGGCCATACCTTCTCCGTCTTATACCCGTGTTCCAACATCTTATCCACAAAGGTAGCGAAGCCCTTGTTCCCCCTGTCTGCCTGTCTGCGTAGACGCTGACAAAGTCCTCAACGGGCTCAGCGCCGTTGTAGTAGTCCGGCATCGCAGTGCCACTTGCAGCCTGCATCGCCATCATGTCCATCCGCCGCCCTCTCCTTCGCATTATGCCTTTCAACAACATACGCGCGCGTTTCTTGTCAAAACCGGGGTGGGGCACACTCTGCAAAACGCGGTTGAAAGATGCAGGGTTCCTCGAAGGATCCAAGCGATTCTTCTTCCCCAACCTGCGCACGTCACCAATCGGACGACTTGCCCTTCCGCTCTTCTGCTCATCGTGAGCTTCACGGACAGTCCCCAATTGACGCCGACGAGCAGGTCCACCAGGCAGATCTCGAGCTGGAGAACGTCTTCTCCCGCGGTCGTCCCGTGATGATTGAGACTCATCCTCACTGGTTGATGAATCCGAGGACAGTTCCACACCCCGCCTTATTTTCCTTCCCCTTTTCTTACCTCCGCGTCGCGATGTTTTCTTTCGACGCGGCGGAGATTTATCCTCACTGCTGTTTTCCCGCTCGCGTCTCTTCCTCCGTCTATCTTTCTTTCGACGGTGGTTACACCGCCCCCGGGAGTTTTCATCGCTACTGTCGGAGTCCGAAGACGAGGTGGAATCACTGTCATCCTGTTTGCTCTTCTTCATGCGCCCCTTTCGCTTCTTTCTCTTCCCCTTGGCCTTACGTACTGCCCCCGCATTACCCTCATCTCTTATCGGCGGGGCTGTCTCCGTCCGTGCAGGTTCACCTCCCCCTTGTGTTTGTGGTAGGGGAGGCAAACGAGACGGGGTCAGGTTATCGCTTTGAGGCAACCAGTTCCCATGTCGCGGTGGTGCTCGCGGGCGCGGAGGGAAAAACGGAGGCTCAAGTCCGCTTCGTTCAGGGCCGCGGTAGTTCCCTGGAGGACCAAAGTTGTCGCCACGGAATTATCCTGCCCACCACCATGAATGTTATCATTGAACCGAACAGTAGGTCCCCGATTGTAATTATCACTTTCCGGGAAACTCGGCTGCACGTTTCTCCACCACCCTCTACGCCCACGTGGAGAGGGAGGACTTCGGTTCTGAGATGGTGGTGGATGCGATCGACCGAACGAAGACGGTCGCCCTGGAAATCCACGTCCGTCAAACCGCGGCTCTTCTTGGGCCCAGGATGATCCACGGGGAGGACCATTGAATTCTTTAGGACCGATCCTCGGTGAATCGCGATTGTTCGCCCATCCCCCATCCCCCCGTCCTCTTCCACTTCCCCTTCCCCAATCCCCTCTTCCTCTTCCTCTTACAATTCCCCTTCCCGACCCTCCTCGTCTCCAATCCCAATCTCCACGTCCTCTTCCCCCGGCAAAGCCTCTTCTTTGCAAACCACCTCGTCCACCTCTTCCCGACCCGCCGCCACTGCCACGCGGCCCATTTCTTCCTCTGGTCCTGCCGCCACCGCGACCACGCCAGGCTGGTCGGTCACTCTCAGGTTGGCCGCGATTAAATCCGCTGTGTGCACGAGGTTGTGGTAGAGGATTCGGGTACGAGATGCTGGCGGTAACATGCTTTGGAATCGCCGTAGTTCTGCCGCCGCCAAGCAACTGCTCACGTCTCTCGTCCATCTTCATGCCATTAAAATCAGCATGCTCCTGTTCCCAGCGCCCTTTTGACTCCGCATTGCGTCGAAGTTGTTCTCGTCGCGCCGCCCCGTTCTGCTGGCACAGTTCTATTACTCTCGACCCCTGTTCCGCGTTACGACGCTGTTGTAAGTCGTAGCAATCCTCAGCCTGAGTAGCGGGAGCCTGAGTCGCGGGGACCTGAGTCGTGGGGGCCTCAATCGCGGGGGTAAGCTCAGCGGCCACACACCCCTTTTTAGAACATGTGTTCGCTTCTTTCTCCTTTGTAGATGAAGAAGGGGCTCCTTTGTCATTAGCCGTAGACTTAGATCTTGGGGCCGGCTGGAAAGGAGTCTTGGCTGGCGAAAACACAGATTTCCGGGTTCTCAAACGGGGAATTCGTACCTCGTCCTCTTTCCGTTCCCCCTCTTTGCCGTTGGGTGATGGTTTTTGCGGCTTCGTATCGGGTTCTGGCAGAGCCGGTGGAAGTGGTACAGGTTGCGATTTGGGAGAGGATCCGCCGTCCGGGAGCTCACGAGAACTGCAGACTTCTTGGATGACTTCGTTGTCAGCATCACTCCCTGTTGTTTTCCTGTGTCCGATCTGCAAGCTTATCACCTCCTCTTTGTTGAAATCACCCGGGGACGCACTCTGCAAGGCACCACTGTCCTGTTTGGAAGTACCTCGAGAGGCGTGGGGTGTGGGGAGTACGGTTCGTGTCGTTCTGTGGGGAGGGCGATTCGTGTTGGGGGATGGGATGTGCTGTCGGTGGTATTCTGAGAGAGGATCGGCTGTCGCGTCGATGAGTGTGTACGTGGCAGGGTTGAATGGAAGCAGAACGTGAATGGACGCCGGCAGCAATATTTATCCCGAAATGTTCAAAACTTTCACACCGATGTTTCGACAAATCATTTGTACATTAAATGGAAAGTGTTTACTCCGTCGTCCACCCACACAGGGAATTTGGGCAAAAAAATGAAATGATAAATTTATTCGAAAAACAAAAATTGGGGCAAATAACCAAATCGCCGGGTACACCCATGATTTGATTCCTCGCCTCAGTTGCGCGGCGATCCGCGCCCATTTCAAAAAGCCGCCAATTTGTGTTGGTTTCAATGAGCTAATGGTTACAGCATGAATCATTATTTTATTCTTAGTTGTGCACTCGTGTAGTGCTTGTCTATTCCCATGTTGACCGTGTTTCAAGTTTTTGTTTGGTTCCAACACGAACCCTTGATTGCGATCCTGTTTTGGTCGTTTCCTTGGTTGGTGGGCGTGTGCAGCAGGTACCCCCGTAAACAGGGTCATTCGGGGCGCCTTGCTGTGTTCCCTGCGCCGTGGCGCGTGCCGGTATTGTAGCCAATAGGAGTAAAGCATTTGCAACCAATGGGCGACCAGCGCCCTTCGTGACCTTATTTTTTGGGCCAAAGTGGGGCACCCCCCTCCAAATGAGCTGCAAACGAAGGAGTGGGGCCCTGCCATTTCATTGGCTATCAACTGGGGCACCCCCCCTACAACAATTTATTTATGAAAGCCATTCTACCCTTTCTACCCGACGGTAGAATGTCACTATACCGTGTGGGTATGTCACTATACCCTGTGAACAGGAACAAGCGGAAATGCTTGTGCTGTATCGGTCATGATGGAGCCGAATCATTAGTACGCAACCAGTGGGCTCCGTGCGCGCTTCGCGCGCCGAGCCAAGAAAGCGTGGAGGAACACTATTTGGGAAGGGTGGCAATGAAAAGATGTAAAGACAATGGCGTTTACTTTTTTTGGTAACTACTGAAGGACCTCGGGGTACACTATGTTTGGCGTTGTTTCATTGGACTCTCTAGTGAGGACAGTGACGTTCCCTGGGTAAGTAGTCCTTGATAGTGCGACGTAGAGTTGACCGTGCGAGAAGCAGTGATCTCGTAAGTCGAGACCAATGCGGCCACCGAAGGATTGGCCTTGCGCTTTGTTCGTTGTAAGGGCGAAGCACGTGCGAATGGGGAACTGCGTTCGGGTGAAGCCAGGGATGGGAAAGTTGTCGTGTCCTGGTCCGCAGGGCATTCGAGGAAGACACAGTCTGTTGCCTTGGTGTGACCCGGTGGTAACGCGTAGAAAGAGCAGGTAGTTGGTCATGTTCTCGATGACATATCGCGCGCCGTTGACGTGACCGGTAGCGGGATCGAGATTGCGCAGAAGCATGACGATGAAGCCTTTCTTGAGCTTGAGCTTGTGGTCTGGAAGAGCAGATCCGGCGGTCAAGGTGTTGAGCATTTCTGTGGGATAGATTAGCGCGTTGGTGTCTTCGGTCTCGACCTTGTCTGCGCTCAAATACGTTCGACACGGTCCCGGAATCATGTTGCGGATGACCTCGTTGACTTCCTCGAGCGGCCTGTTCTTTGTGATGAGTATAACGCGCTTGGTGAGGCAGGCAGGGTCGGCGTGATTGTCTCGAATCCCTTGGAAGACCTTGAGGCATAAATTGCGGATGGTATGCTCGAACGCAACGGACTGTGGTAGTGAGATCCATTCCGGGCGCTGTTCACCGTTAATTCTGCCTTCCCCGACGCTGAGGAGGAACTCTGGAAAGTTGAGAGCCTCCACATCTGCTGCAGGGTCCGCTCGGAGATCAGCAAGGCGCATGTTCTCGGTAAGGCGCAGGAATCGGCACTCTCGATACAGCGGGGAAGCCTTGACGCACACGCTCACGATTTGACCTCGGGACCCGCCTGGAACGACGGGAAGGATTTGTCTAAAGTCTCCAGCGAGCACGAGGAACTTTCCTCCGAAGGGCTGGTCGGTTTGCATCAAGTCGCGAAGGGAGCGATCGACAGTCTCAATACAATGTCGATGGCACATGACGATCTCGTCCCATATGATGAGATCGACTTGTTGCAGTGTACGGCCAGTGTCGGAGTTTGCGGAGAAGCTGCACGTGCTTTCGGCAGATACAGGAATGGGAACCTTGAACACGGAATGAGCGGTGCGTCCACCGTCGAGCAACACAGCAGCAACAGCAGACGTAGCGACAGCGATGAATTGCTTACGGCGCGTACGAAGGAAGTCTTGAATGGCGCTGAACACGAATGTTTTGCCTGTTCCGCCAGAAGCATCGAGGAAGAAGAGACGACTACTTCGTGTCGGCATAGAGGGTCCCGCCACGGCGCTGGAGGATCCTTGAAGCAATGCAGAGACGGATACGCCTGGAAGCATGGAGCCCACTATTTCGTCAAATGCATGGCGTTGATTTGTGTTCAACAGCGGCAACGACGTCTGTAGTCGCTCTTCCCACTGCTGCGCTCTTGCTTCGGGGGTCTCGATCTCGTTTTTCTTTTCCAAAGCGGGAAGGCTGTCATCGGGCAGTGGGAGTCCGAAGTTTGCGAGCGTCCAGTTGGAACGCACCGTCTGCAGGGCCTCCTGTACCTCTCGAAGCACGTAAGATGTGGCGTGGTGATCATCGCGAAGCTGCGGTCTTCGAATGGGTTGTCTGCGTGCACGATTTCGAATATCGGTGAGAAACATGTCCAGGTGGTCGTTCCACAGCGAGAGAGGGTCCGAAGGCTGGCAGTGTGCCATAATCGTAGCAAACAGATGAGAAAGAGGAACGAAGCTTGACCGGAATGAATCTCGGATTGCGTGCTTCCACTCGGCATCGTCGGGCAGCAAACCGAGTTGTAAGCAAGCTTGTCGGAAGCTGGTGCACTCCTCGCCGTCTATATTTCGCAAGTTCTCGAAGGATGTTGCACCTGGCACTTGTGTGAGGAGGAGGCGAAGAAAGTAGCGCTCACCCTCCCTCGGACTGACAGTGTAGATTCGACCGACTACGTTGACACCTGTACCACTGAAATCGTAGGCTTCCTCTTCGCTGCTGGCGTTCCGTCTTCGCAGTGTTGCTCTTGGACTCCATGACTTGGTGTGTGTCTTCCACGTAAAGTACCTTGACGATACTCCTCGTACAGTTGCCGCAATCTTGGGTACTTCTCGTTGGCTTTAAACCACTCGGTCAGCTTCGTGCCTGTTGCTGGTCGAAGCGCCGCCTCCTGCTCTCGCCCTTCCTCAAAGTACACCGTGTAGTGGTTGGGCAGATGCACTGCAAGCCTGACTACTGGAGGATTGCGGTCTACAATGTCAAAGGAGAATAACCTCCATGCGGCCTCCGATGCCAAAACGTATCTGGCATCTTGGAAGTTGGAGATCTCGTCGTAGCGCTCGTTCTCGGCAGTGATTTCCATGGTCACTCGGTCTGGTCCCTTGCACACATACTTGAAGAGGTACTTGATTCCGCCAATGCGTGACACGCAGAGTTCAACATTCAAATGGCAAGCGAATGAACGTAGAAGCACAGGACTGTGGGGAACGACCCAGGAGTTGTCTACCACGACTGGTTGCTGTCGTCGGCCAATACGGGAGGGTCGCTCGATGGAGACGCCACCTGCAGAGGGTGCCCTTCTTCGGTACGTGATGTAGTACTCACTGTCGGACTGGCTGGTTTCGTGTTTGAACGATTTTGGAAACCCTTTCCTGCAGTACCGCTCGCCCATGCACACGGCTGTTGGATTGTGTTCTCCATATGGATTGTGAATCATATGCTTGAGCACGACCTCTTGGAGTTCTGGATCTTGGGCAGACGGGATCCCGGCAGAGATAATGCGGTCGACGTTTTCGGGAGTACGCAGATCATTCTTGGAGACTTCATTTAGGAAAAATACAACGTGAGCGTGGGGAAGACCGCGTTTCTGAAACTCGATGACTCGTATATGGGCAACAACGGTTCCGAATACTTTTTCGTTGATGACCAAGGACATGAGATCTTTCATTTTCAGACGAAACACACGTGCGCACAGATCCGGTCTGTTCTGAGGCGTTTGGTTCGGCAGTAGGGCTCTTGTGATCTCCGGCCAGCTTGGACTGCATGTCATGGTGAGGAAGATGTCCGGGTGGCCAATTTGGTTCGATATAGCAATGATGTCGTGCATCTGCTGCCTCATATAGCGGTCACCTCCAATGTACGTGGAAAGGAGAATGAACAGTCGTCCCGCACGCACGGCATCGGCTTCGTCTTCAGCACGACCGGAGTCTCCTAGGCTGTCGCGCAGTGAGGTGTAGTCGGCGGCTCCAAGTTGTGTCTGGTTGTGGCGGAGATAAGAAAGCCTTTCTGCTGCCACTTTGCAGAACTGGTCAACCAAGTATAGCTGAAAGAGTCGTGCTGCGTGCAAGATTGTACTGAACTGGCCTGCTCTTTCGAACAAATGCCATCCGTAGTACATCATCGGAGTAATCTTGGTACGTCTGCCGTCTTGAACACTGGAGAATCGAAGCTCTGGATACCATCCATCTCTACTGTTCGGGAACAAAAGCACGTAGCTCAATGGATCGTATGCGCGATGACTGACTGAAATCGGATCCAGCACTTCGTTCCCGTTACTGTTCAGAGTCCCTCTCCTGCGAACGACGATATCTCTTCGCCCAATCTCTCCGTCTTCATTTCCAGGGATCAATGCGGCGACTTCAGAAGCTTCGGGACCATTGTACCGGCGCACATACTCATGACTTGGCCTGCGATCGGCATGGATGACCATCTGGTACGTGGCAGGACTGTTGTTGTGAGGAGATTGAGCCCATTCTCGCATACACAGAAACGTCTGCACGTAGGGGTTGCATTCGTGCAGCATGTATGTCAGTTGCGTCATCAGTGCCTCTTCCAGTTGTCTAGAGTTTCCAAGCCTTGTGCGCGTCTGGGTGGCGTAGTCAGTGTCATGAATGTAAACGGAAGCACAGGAAGGCGCCCGCCCTTCGGATGGCATCATGGGACTCATGTAACGGTACATCCCGCCCTGCATCGTCATTGTGGGGTTAAAATTAGAAGGACCGGGACCTCTGTTCACCCATTTGGCGACCACGGATGCCATCGATAGCGCTACATTGTATGCTCGAATGTTCTTACGGAAGCTGCGGGCCCTTGGAGTATCATCGATGAGAAGAGAGCGCAAAAGAGCTGGCGGGTCGGGGAGAAGCGGCAATGACAGCTTCCCCTTCCCACAGCATGTGGACAAATGGGCCTTGCGGCAGAGCTGCTCCCGATGCGTTCTTGGACGAAATTCAGAGCTTTGCAGTGCGAACACTCAACACGGATCATGCCGAGATCGCAGTACGAAGGAGAGGACTCGGGTAGTGGAGGGAAGAGCTGTCGAGAGGCACTTCGAGCCTGGCGGTCGGATCTTTGCCGCGCAGCTATGACGGGGGATATATCCACAGCTCTCGCTTGTCGCATTGCCAAGCGATTCGACTCCTGTCTCGAAGATCTCAGTGGAGTATTTTCCTCGGCTCGGCCTCTTTGCGTTGCGATAAGATTCGATTCTCGCCGCCCCTCACGAATAGGAGTACTTTCCTCCGCTCTAGCGCCTCGTGTCGCAATGCGATCCGCTTCGCGCCGCGCATTTCGGAGGGGGATGGTTTCTCCCGCTCTGCGCGCCCTGGCTCTCTCCCTCAGTCGACGGAGACGCTTCTCGCGCTGCTCAGACGTCTCTGCTGCTCTTAGTGCTGCAGTACGTTCACGGTCGGCTTGAGGACGTGCTTCCCTCTGAGATTTGGTTTGTTGCCCCGTCCGGATTCTCGCACGGGCTCGACGTGCCTCACGACGTGCTTGAGCGTCAGATTCAGACTCTTGCGCTGTTCTTTCCCTTGCACGCGCGTTTCTTTGGTGCCGTCTTGCTTCTGCCACGTCTTCGCCCGCTGTTCCCGCCGTTTATGTTCTGCTTGGCGCGCTAGTGTTATCCCTGCAAGTGCAGCTAGGGTTGACGCAAGTGCGAGGGGTCCGTTGTAGATCGCTATGGGTCGTAGCAAGCAGTCCTCAAAGGTCTAAACGCAACGTCAGCCAGCTAGGTCGTCCGCAAGAGCACTTAGCAAAAGAGTAACAATATAGGGCCTTTATTGTCTTGTACTATCCCGTGATTCAAAAGAACCAAAAACGAAACAGAAATAGAAATAGACTAATGGTCCTACTATACACAGGGTACAGTATTAATACTCAGAGTACGACCACCTTGTCTATTTCTACTCCCAGGGAGCCCGGTATTAGAAAGAACCTCTTGCAAGGCTCTTCCCGCCGGGGTCGCTAAGTACGCGCGCTCCCTTTTCCCTCAGTGCGGTGGTTAGGTTTCCCAAGCCCTAACGGCACGTACACTGGGTCTTCTTGCAGCCTCTATAGTTTGACGGAGGCTGCGTTTGATCTTCGTTGTCGACGTTGAAAAGAACGTCAGTCCGACGTCCGCAGATTGCTCTGCGGAGGCCGTTGTTCCGAGCCCGATACTAAAACACCAAGAAATGGTGCGCTATCGGATTAGGCTTCCTGCACAGCGGCAGACTACCACGCTTTACTAAAAGCAAGGCGCAATAGCACCTAGGGACTATCCGGATGCCGTCAAGCAATCCGGTAAACTTTTCGCGGGGAATGCCGTATTCAACCCACTACTAAGCCGGCATAGAATCACGATCGCTGCCTTGCCCAGACTCTGGTCACCACGCTACCAGGGAGCCGTCACATGGTGAAAATTTGCTGAAGGTTGTTGAACTCGAAAGCCGGTACTGTGCTCCCGACGTGCGGCTATGTAAAAAACGTTTCTATTCGTGCGCGCTTTCGCCTCACCGCCACTTGTCACCAGGGGCGCCGCCACGTGTCGCCACATGTCACCGGCACGCTACTGTAGTGCCGCATTGGTGTAACAGTTCGAAATTCAAAATAAAATTAATTTTACCGCTACGTGTCGCCACTTGTCACGCCACGTGTCCCCGTGGCTGCCACTTGTCACCGCGGCGCCGCCCCTGTGCGCCAATGGCAACGCGGGAGCGCAAGGACATACAGACACACACACAGACACGGATTTTAGTAGTTGTAGACAAGTGGGCTCCGTGCGCGCTTCGCGCGCCGAGCCAAATCCCTTCTTTCTCCGCTCCTTGCCCCGCACCTCCCGCTCCGCCGTCCCTTCGTCTCTGGTCCACCATCGTTGCCGGCGTTCCCCGCCCCGCTGCTCCCCCGTCCTCTTCGCTACTGCTCTTGTCCTCTCTCCGGTCTTCGTCGCCCCTTTCGCCCTCGTCCTGCCACGCGTACCGCCCCTCCGTGCTCACTCTGGCTGCAGGTCGCGCTGCTCTCGCCACATTCGCCTCAGTCCTGCTCGCCACCCTTGCCCAGGCCGTTACCCTGGTCGCTACGGTTGGCACTCCCGTCCGCCTCAACCTCCGTACCGGCGAACCCGTGGCCCCCCGCCCACACTGCCCCCTCCCTCTCCCCGCTTCTGCTCTCGACTGTTTCGCCGCCGCCCGCGTTGCCTGCCGCCTACGCCGCGAGGCGCTTCGCTTCCTCAATCCCCGCACTCCCACTTCCGTGCCCCTACCCTTTCGTTATTCTATGGCTCTCACGCTCTAGGCACACGCCCACGCAATCACACCTCACCCGCCGCCCGGCCCTACTCTACCCGGCCCCTCTACTCGTGCGGCTCGCCCCGCTCCCTCCCGCCCTGCGGCGGCCTTGCCCTCTCCGTCGCCGGCCTCCGCCCCTGCTGCTGCTCTTGCCGCCCCCAAGTAACCGTCGCCTCGCGTGCCCGGGCTTGCACCCCCACCTCGCCTTCCGCTCCACCCATTTCGCCGCCTGTGCACCTCCCGCTCGGCTTCCTGCTCCGACCTTGGCAGTTACTGCTCCCGACGTCCCCACCCTTGCTGCTGCTGCCGCTGCCCCTGCTTCGTCGCGTGCGCTCTCAGCGACTCTCCCGCCCTCCGCTCTCCTGGTTCCCCTCCCCTCTTGCCTCCTTTGACCGCTCTACGATCCCTCCTCCCCTTATGATGCGCTTCCCGCATCCCCCGCCTGCCCGCCTCTTCTTGATCAAGCCGATCACAGCCACCTTCCCCTCTGCACACCGTTTCCGTAGGCCCTCCTTCTCGTCCGTCGCGGTGCCGCTCCCGCACCCACAGTCATCGCAGTTAGTCAATCTTCCCTCTCGTACGCTGCGAACCCCGCGGAAGGAGCGCAGCGCGACCGCCTGGGCGTCAATTCCCGGCCCCCCCTCACCCGCGCGCGTCTTCTTGCGCTGCCGGCTGTGACACCTGCCCGCCTCGCAGCGACGGTCTTCGGCGTTCCTCGCCCCTGCCCCTCGCGCCGGCGCTCGCCGCCACCCCCTTCCCCCCCGGGCGCGGTCCGGCCCCTTCCGCCCGCGCTATGCACCCACCTCTCGGGCCTCGTCAGCGGCCTCTGCCTTCACCTACCGTGCGCGACCCTCGCGACAGCGTGGCCATGAGGGCCCCCTCGCCCCCCGCCAGTGACACACCCTTTCCCCTCGCCGCTGCCGCCTCTGAGGTCATGCGGAATTTTTAGATGACCCACGTAATTTCTGCCCATCCCGTAGCCGGCCCGTGTCCTTGGTGGCCGCGTGGCCTGCGGCGAGG